CTCTCCACTGCCTGTAATGGGAGCTGGTGGTGACTGCCCCGCATCAAACATCCGTTATGAGCACCTAACCTATGGGCAAGGCAAGTCCTGCCCAAAATGCCCATAAACTGCCTTGAACTGAGCAACCAAAGGGTTGGCTGGGACAGGCCCTCCCCTGGGCCAGAAGGATGGGGGCGAGACACTGACTGCCAGGGAAAGCAGTCTGATACCAGTGTCATCTGTCAGAAATGTCACTCTGACAATTTTTTCTATGAAATCAAATGCAACATTTCCAAATTTTCTTCTCAGAAGTGAAAAACAATTTGGCATTTTTATACTATTTTTACCTTTCAGAACCCATCACTGGTGTGGAGAGTGTCACAAAGGAAGGTGACAAAGCACGTTCATTTTTAGGCAAGTCTTCTGGCATATTCAGACTTTTCTTTTTCCTACTTAGAATAAAATATGGAATTTCAGAGTGCTGTAACTTCCCAATTCCATGTTTCAGCCAGCTCTATCAGATATCCCAGGTGGGGTGAGACCTTTAGAGTTCACTTATTACCCAGCACTGAAATACAGCATTATCAGCAAACACCGACCTAAGCTCCTGCGTACAATCAGAACCTGCTCACCTGGCTTGCCAACTGCATACCATGCCGTGCTGCACCCCAAGAAACCAAGACCCAGTACTGCACATAAGCGGTGCTCTTATTTGTTGGGTGATCTTTCCGTAACAACATTTCTCCTTGGAAAGTCACGCCATCCTAGGGAGACTGCATGGTAATTACACAGTGCCTTTTGTGTTCGCCAGTTTCTTAATATCGGGGTGCCACAGAAGTAACACTACCCTGTCTTTGTTCTCTTTTCCAAAGAGACTTTAAAAGTACAAAACAAGTAATTAATGTCAGATTGTTAATGACCTATCTCTTTGAGTCTGACTGGAATGAGCAAACAGAACATATTTAACATTGCAGGTGCAGAACCAAGGACAAAAACAAAGTGGAAGAAACCCTTTACCCCTCTTTCTCTTTTATCTTTCACTTAAAACTCCTTTTTCCATTAGAACAAAATAAAACCCATTTGACTATACAGATACTCTTCCTAAGCACTTGCTCTGTCTGGCCACCACTAGCCACTTAGGGTAACTGAACAAAGCAAGAGTATATTTGCGAGCTGAAACTAAAATAACAGCTTTCACCTTTCCTCAGAGAAGCTTTAGACTCACAGATCCCAAACGTACTTGTTTGGACACCGGCAACAGCAACAGCAGCGGCATTCCCCAGCTCTGTGTGCGCTGGGCAGCACCCCCCAGCTGCTCAGACAGCTACGTGGGCTTTCTCAAGCCAAAAGCTGCTTGCTCGTACTAGCGTACAGGTACCAGCATCTGGACAGGCTATCCACTGCCTGTGTACATGGCG